GCAGGAGTAGTAGTTGTAGTAGTAGTCGTAGTCTTAGTAGTATACTAGTGGTAGTTGCAGCACCATTAGTATCATGACGGTACCACCTTTGTCTTCTACTCCTGTTCATCGCTCATCCGTTTCTTTCCCTCACTTCATTGGGCCCTCTGGGGCAGCTCTTGACATCCTCGAGGCAGGCTATCAAGTTAGGCACTGGAAGCAGCTCTGAAATCTTCACCTTATGTCCTATGTATACACACATATGTATGTATATATGTATATATATATATATGTATATTATATGCATGCATGTACATATGTGTATGCACGTAACGTATGTCTGTGTTTGTGGACATATACATCTAGTCATGTCTCGCTGTGAGACCCTCTCTCCTTTTCTGTGGTTGCCCGGGAACTCTCCAAAGAGTTCGAAGAACCGCTGCCAGTGGCATCCGGGGCGAAGCGCGGAAACCGGGTTGGCGGCATCTTCAGCCATGCCTTTAACGCGACAGGGCAGTCCGCGGAAGTAGTCTCATGCGAAACGAACACCAAAAGCCCAACAAGCCCCAAATTCCTAAAGCCCAACGGCGCGAGAAACCCTGATCGCTCCGTGCCAGTTGTGCAGCATTAACCTGCAGCTGAACACTCCGAAAGCACATCAGAAGACAAGTACTCATTCCACAATCAAGCTATACTCATGCTCGTGATCAATGGCACCCTGCTTCCGAGTACTACTGATCATTATTGCTACTTCCTACTTCTCAACGAAGTAGCATTCATCTGCCATTGCCTCTACAAGCGATTTTACTTGATGATGGCAACAACCCTGAAAGCCTGAAGCGAACAACCCTTTACTTTGCCGAACTCTACAAGCCTCTGAACCCTCAACCAACTTGAGCCCTGAATCCTAAACCCTAAATCCCCAAACCTTTCGACCCTCCTTTCTGCAGATGTGTACTATCCCCAAAATGTGATGTAACAGACACTGTCGCATGCGCCGGGACCGTCCCGGGCGATTGCGCATTCGAAGTGCTTCGACCAAACTCCTGAACCCCTAAACGCCGAAACCCCTAAAGCCCTGAACCCCTGAACCCCAAAACTCCTAAAGCCCTAAACCCCTGAACCCTGAATGCCTGGTATTCCTGGCCTTGGGGCACCCAGCGAACTGGAAGCTCCAGCGCCAAGCCCGGGCTGGGCTCTCGCTCCCAAAGACGCAGGGAAGCCAGCCGAGCCCTGTTTTGGGCTCGGGATTCCGGATTTTGGGGCCGTTGAGGGCTTAGGGAACCGCTCTTTGCGTTCGAAGGGACTTCTGAGCTTTGGGTGTCGGTTCAGCCTGCTTCGCTTCAGGGTCTGGCAAGTCTTGTGGCGTCATGCACAGACGCCAGACAGGCCTGAGGCACGATTTGTTTCGGGATTTCGGGCTTGAGGAGCGCAATGTGTACATAAGCAGCATCCCACCTGCCGTGCTTCTTCTCTGGGCTCAGGTCCGCCGTGTCGAAAGTCGAGCTCCAGCTTGCCCATGCCTTCCCATCTTCGGGGACTGATGGCATCAAGGGATTCGGGTGAAGCTCAAGCTGTTCATCCTTTGTCTAGTACCAGTACCCTGCTGCGGGCGATAAGGTCGGGTTTGCGATTTCGCTCAAACCTCACAGGGAAACTCGAAGCTTCTCTGCATCTCCTGACTTGCACTTTACATATGTCTGACAGAAGTAGTGTTCCCAGCCATGTTCTCCTGCCACCACTCTAGAGCATTCTAAACACTGCTGAGGCCCTCTGAACTAGCAAAAGAGTCGAGTAGCCATTTCCTGCATGCATTGATTGCGGATTGACATCAGAACTACTACCAAGAACTGAACCCGATGCGATATACTCGATTGAACTGAATCCCAAGGACCACAGAAGCGAGAAACCAAGACTCCCAAGACCCACACGCATACATCCTAGACCCTGCCATCAATTATATTTACGAAGCATGAAAACCGAAGCGCACCTACCAAAGCTCGCCTGATCCTCTAGCAGCCCACGCTTACCAGACCAAAGCGTGCGCCGCACCGCCTCACAAGCAGACCTGGCCCGAATCTAGCTGGGGTTAGCTATCATGGTAGTTGATCTCTGGTTATGAACTGATTGATTCGGCTTAGTGCAGCAGTGCAGCTGTTCCGCTTACCCTGTTCATAGGTACTGGTGGCAAATCTTGCGCCATGTCAGAATGTCCGAAGACTGAAACATCACGTGCCCGGAAAGAACTTCAACAAGGATTGAGAGGCAGATTGCCGACGATGTGGGCATGCAGCAGCCGCTGGCCTCGTGGAACTAATCTCATTCCAGCTTCAGAACAATCGAGGCTAACTCGAACCTCAGGCTTCTCACTTAGGAGGCTCTCCAGTTTCACTTGAGATGTCTGGTCTTCTGCGCGTGATGCTTTTCCGAAGAGTGGTGTTGGCGATCCCGGCAGGGGAGAAGCCAAGCTCCAAAGTTCGGGAACGCCGGCGGGGTGCGATACCACCGAAGCCCAAAACATGAGGTGCGGCCCAAACACGAGTCGTCAGCCAGACCGGCTTCCAATGGACGGCCGCCAGGACTGGAGAGGGCCACAACAGGCAGACTAGGGATCAGCTATTCACATTCAGACAGATAGGTGTGCACGTGTATGCCGGTGAATACAGGTGTGTGTGTGTGTGTATATTATATATATATATATACATACATACATACATACATACATACATACGTATAGAGACATCATCCGTCGCGCCGCGAGACACCTCAGCCTGATCTGTCGAAGGAGCATTTCTACAACTTCCAAAAGTTTCAAAACGACAATATGACGGACCATGCTCCGCACAAAGTTCAGGGCTTCGGGGTTACATGTATATTAAAGTTTCGGGTTCCAGGCTGGATAAGCTTGGGGTTTTGATTTCAGGGTATTCAGTCGCAGGCACCGCAGGTTCCGGCCAAGTCGGACTGCAGGGCAGCCCCAGCCGCCTGCCGCAAAACGTGCGCGCACCTCCCAAAAACCCTAGAGACCCCAGAAGCCCTGAACACCGCCATGCCAGTTCCCCCAAGTTGAAAAGGCACGGGTTGGGCCTCCAACAGCCTCGCCCAGCACTCTTCATCCTCGAAGCGAGGCTCCGCGAAGCTTGCCTCCAGAACAGCGACCACCGGTGCCAGCAAGCACACGGTCCTCAGAAAGCCGCGTTCGGGAGGCTGTTAGGGCCTTTAGGGCTTCAGGAGTCACCAAGACTCTAGGGCAAGCCGGGTGTCTCGGAATCCCCCCAAGTGCCCCAGCGGCCATACCACACAGGTCCCCTGTCTTCCATGGCACCGATGCGAGTCTCCCATGCTTCAGAAGCTCAATCAGTCTCAGGAATTCTAAGGCTTGGAGTTTAGGGCTTAAGCTGTAGGACTTCGGGCTTCAGGGTTTAGAAGGTCTGGGTGTGCGGGAACGTCTGCCAGGCGTCGCCAACGGCGTAGTGTTTCTGCCACTTCGCGTCCCCAGTGTGGTTGATGTCGGCTCTTTATTGTCATAGTGGTTTAGTCGCGCATTCTTGTGTTCTTGCAAAATCGGCTCGTGTTTACCAACATGTTTAGTTCGAGTAGCTCGCTCCAGCTTGAAGGATGGCGCTGCTCACAACTTGTCTGTTATGCTATGGCCGTAGGCATGTCTAAGCCAAGCCAGAATGCGGAGATACGATCAGGCACAGGCAGCAAACTCAGGAAAATGTTGAAGGCTACTTAACTCAGAAAGCTCTAGAAGTGCCTGCGCAGCCGTGAATCTTTCCAGATCTGTGACCTGGGAATAGACCGGGCAGTGGCCAGGCCATCAACCGTTCGAATCTAGACAAACACACACAACGCCGAGACACGTCGACATACTCTCTTTGTGTTGCCGGACAGGGCAAACTTGCCAAGCATACGGCCGTAATGTTCACTGTTGTCCCACCACCTGGTGGTCCCACAGCTGGCTGAAGCCGCTGCATCTTCCTGGTACCGAACAGATTGGGCTGCTCATCTGCGAGACCTATCTGATAAATCTGGGTGCGGAACAACAGCGTATCGAGGGTGGAGGTCTGAAGTTGTTCGAGAAAGAGGCATGGCACGGAAACTGCTCGGATCTTTCAGAGGTGCTGGCATCATTGGCAAGACCCATAGAGAGGGTGAAGGCCGTGATCGCCCCATCCGGCATGAAGACCTCGGCTTCTGTCGAAGCATCTGGGAGAACTGCCAACAAGGAATGCACAACACCCACGGCAGGCCTTAATCTGAATGCTGTCAAAGCCGTCGTAGGGCAGATAGAGCACATTGTTCGTGCATCTGTCCAAGCAGATGAGAATGAGCCGAACACGCGCGAGGCTGCAACATGCTTGACAGCCTCTCGTAGATCATGCTTTGCACGCGGGAGTTAACCTCAAGGCAACCCAGGTGCATCTGATGCTTCACCGCAACTCGTGATCGTGAGTTCACGACGCTGGCGCACTCCCCTTTGACAATGGCCCAGTCCTGACTCCGAAGACTGCGACTGCCCCTCTCCTTTTCTTGGAAAGTCTCACCCCGGAAAGCCCTAGTGCCCTAGTCCTGGCTGTCGTCTCCAATCACGGAGCGGCCGACCGAGCCCACGTGCCGGGCCTGGGGAGATGCAAGAAACCGAAAGAGGGACGGGCTACTCTAAGGGTTATTGTAAGGGTTCTATAAGGGTTTAAAGGGCCCTTAATAATTACAATAGGGTTTGGGGGCCCAGTATGCTATAACTATAAGAAGGCACAAACCAGGGAAGAAGTGAAGCGATGGCTCTGGGGCTGTCGCTGCCACAGGCTGGCTATCAGTGTTGCTGAAGGGATCCTTGGAGTGCACGACAGCTCTGATTGCGGTCCCAAGCCCTAGGCGGCTTGCTTCCACTCCCTTTCTGGCAAAGTGCAGGGTGCCCAGGACCCCGGCTGGAGCAAGGATGAAGCCATTTAATGCCCGCGCATGTACCTGTGGAGGTATTCCTCCTGTATTTCCAAGCTGGAGCGTCGCAAGGTGCTGCTGAGAGCGCCTCCATGATTCCATTGACACTGGTGCAGTCAAAGCCGAGGCCGGCTATCGACGAGTCCCTGGTGGAATCTCCGCTTGAGATTAAGGCTCGACTCACGTGAGATGTTGTTGGATGTGGCATCTGCGGTTACTCAGCATCCACGATTACTGGGTCTTAGTGCAAGCTGGAAGGGTGGCTAAGACGGCTAAGACCCAGACCAGCATGTTGGAAGTGTTCGGCCATGAACTGGAAGTAGCAGGGCTGCAATCGCAACCAGATGCCACATCTGGATCCTGAAGACATTCCCTCTGCCCCGCAATTCACTGGTACTCTCACAAGTTGCCAGCGCTGCGACTGAAGCTCCGGCAGACTAGGAAAAGATGGCCGCGCGCCACCTCAATAGCCTGCCAGGCCAGCTGCTACTTTCCGGCAAGCATCAAGCCCGGAGGTGATGCAGCCAAAGTTCTCGAAAAGCCCTGCACTCGCGCCTGCAAACCACACCAAGCATCCCAGCCTGATGTCAGAACGCTGTTATCAACGGCTGTACGTGTATGAAACTCATGATCTGAAGACCACTGATACGAATGGCAATAAGCACACGTCCTTTCTTACAAAAAGACGTCAAGAATAACACTAGCAGCGGGTGCCAGTGAGACTGACAAGGCCACAGTGAACCATAGCAAAGCACCTATGAGGCTGTCGTCTACATCTGTTCTGAAACTTTTCTCGTGCTAGCACTGGCTGCTAGCTTTGATGCGGGTTACAAACGGTCCTGTGGCTTCGCAAGACTACTAGCTTTGCGCACGTAAAGGAGCCACTGTCAAACACAAATGTCCAGATGCGAACTCGACTGACTAAACTCGACCAACAGTCAAAACTGCAGCACTCCAAGATCCAGCTTAATCCTGCCAAGACGCTTGCTTCTCGATTGCACTGCTCTGTTTTGAGGCAACGGATCTTGTGAGGACGGACATGGAGACGAGACATGTGAAGACGAAGCCATCACAGACTGAGCAGTTCATACTAAAACGCCATCAAAGCAGAGGTCGCAAGCGCGCACACAGTTGAACTATTGCGGAAAAACTCAGTCCGACAGTACATACAATCCAGCCGTTAATACTGCTGCATGCCTCTGGGCCTGCAGCTGCTTTCTGCCGAGTTGCATTTATCCTGGGGGCTGTCCACTGGGGTAGCCCACACCAGGCAGTGCTGGGAAAGGGTGTTGAGCCAAGCTGAATGGCTTATCGAGTCAAAAGCTATCGCCAGTGCCAGTGTCATTTCCCAACATGCAGATCGCTCATTGTCTACTTTTCGACACTGGCAGCATGGAACACGCCGCGAAGCACAGAACGGCCAGCAGGATTTTTTGTTGATTAATCGACGTATTGGTAATCCACACATCCACACTGCTGTACCTGACCGCATGGGAGCGGACACTGCTTGGCAATGCAGCAAAGTAATGCATGTAGCCCCATTGCAAGTTGCTTGCTTTAGCAAACCGACCTCATACTCCTGGAAGACACATAAGTACCATCGTAGGAACATGCATAATCTTATTTGCCAGCACGGCAATCGACCACGCAGCGGGATCCACCCCGCGGACTTGTAGTGGCTTGGTCCACCTTTCTCGTTTCGTCTTGTCTTCGAAACGGAAAAATGTAACTTGCCGAGCAGGGCCAGTGGTCTGATTGGCCAAAGTCTCATTTAAACCGTTAATTTAAACCTTTTGGAATGCTCCGTGTAGCGTCGACGAGGAATGATTCATGCACCAACGCCAACGTGCACCAGTTCACCGTCTCCAACGCATGCGGTCCGCATCTTGCAACTCAGGTGCCGACCACTTTGCTCGCTGAGAGGCGTAGCTTGTTAATTCGCCAGGATGTTGACACCGTTTATGACAAAAATCTTGAACATTGGCCCCTCGATAGATCTGCTCGCCTCGGTTGCCTTTTCCATTGGTTTCAAGCCGCAGCCCGCTGGTGTTCGTTTCGGTTCGTACAGTTTCAGTGTGTTTGTTCGTGATTTTGGACCGACCGAGCGGTGCAGCCGCAGCCGCCAAGGCCGCTCCACGAAAAATGAAACTGTCGCCTATTTGTTACAAAGTGCAGTTTCCGTTTCTCTTGCTTCGACAGCAGTCCTCAATAAATTACTTGACAGAAAACCTGTACGACAATTGCGTGAAAACTCAACAATTCGTTGCAACACGGGATCTGTTGGTGCTAGGTCACCTCCATGGAATCAGTGCAGGTCCCAACTCCAACGTGGGCGCGATCTTCTTGTCGGAGACCTCCACTGATGCGCAAGATGAGTTCTCGGTATTCACCCGTGCAGCCAGGAAGGCACTTTTTTGCGGAGGTCGGCCTCAATGGGGGGAAGATAGTGAATCCAGAAATTAAATATCTCGATTTAATTGTTCGATTTTGACCCACCTTGGACCCCTCAGGCCCGCACAATTTACTTATGCTTGAATTGGCCCTTGAACGTTGCACGACGCTCTATTCCACGCCTGTCCTGCTCCCTGCACGGCACAATTAAATCATGATTTAACTGTTTTTCCAACACTACCCGAACCCGGGACGACAATTAAATCAAGATTTAATGGTTCTGAATCAACAACCAAACCTGAAACAATCAAACCGAAGCCTAACTGTTTTTGAAAAATTGGCAAGAACGCAACGATTAAATCAATATTTACTGAATTCCCAAGACCCTCTGTCAGGCTCAAGCGTTAAGGTGAAATGCAGGGTCTGCAGGCTTGTGATCACGTGACTGTGGCGTTCGACATGCCAGGTTGGTTTACCGAGATGCAAAGTTCGCGCCCGAGATGCATGGTACCAAACAGTTCGCATCTCGAAAACCGACTTGTGCCGGTTGAGCCAATACGTTTTGCGTCTCAGAAACCGATCTGCAACGGCCAAGCTAGGATTTTTGAAAATCCACTCCTTTTCCCTCGAACAAAGGGCTTCAGTCGCTGCACAATTTGTGCGTGTCATCCTTGCAGGGGCCATGCCTCGCACGTGCCTACTGATCTCATGTCAGCACACACATGCAAATGCACTGCTACGTCAAGGGCACCTGGGGCTGATTTGCACTAACATGCCCCCTCAGCTTGGACTCCTAGGGTCCAAACTGGACTACTGTGCTTGTTTCCCTTCAGCGGCGTTTGCGTTTGGGCTTTTCTCAAAGTAGGCCTCACTCAGCTCTTTGAGCTGGACGTGGTCGTCGCCGCTGCACTGCTCACAAGGGAACAAACCAAGCTCCAGGGCGCCCTTCACGGTCGCTGAGCTCTGCCTTCTTGAGGATCTC